GCCACCGAAACCCCTTCAGCGCCATGAGAACGGGTTGCTGCTGACTTGTTCTACTTAGATGGCCAGGACCTCCTTCTCGTTGTTGACTACCGTTCGAGGTACCTTGAGGTCATAACGCTCCGGTCGATGTCCACGGATGCAGTCATCTGTGCTGTCAAGAGCATTTTTGCCCAGCACGGCATTCCACTAACGTTCTTCAGTGACAATGGGCCGCAGTTTGCATGCAAAGCGTTTTGGAACTTTGCGAAATGCTACGAATTCACACACCTCACGAGTAGCCCTCGCTACCCTCAATCGGATGGTGAAGCTGAGAGGACGGTCCACACAATCAAAGAACTGTTTCGGAAAGCGGAGGACCCCTTCCTGGCACTGCTAGCTCCTTATGGGACATTCTCTACGAGCACGCCTACCCGTCACCACCGCAAGCCTGGTTCCGGATTGGCCTGAAGTCAAGGACTTTAACGAGCGCGACGTTGCCCAGCGTCGTAGACAGCAGAGAGACTTCAATTCTCGCCACGCTACGCGGGATCTTCGCCCTCTCCAAGACGGAGAGGAAGTGTGGGTAGAACAGCAACGGTTCTGAGCCCTGCTCAGAGGCCAAAGTCGTATGTTGTCCAGATGCCCAGCAATGTCCTCGTGCGAAACCGCAGGCACCTCGTCCCCTGCAGCAGCTCTCCGTCACCATCTGCGACTTCTCAAACTAACAGTTCGGCAGCTCAGCAGCAGGCTTCCGAGGACAGAGACAGCGGTAGAGCACCTCTTGCGTCTCCGCGAGCACCTCCAGCGTCTCCAGGGACTTTAGAAACATGCTACTCCCGTTATAGATGGCGTGTGGCCCTAAACGACTGAACTTGTAGGGCATGTTCTTTTTGTCCTGCTGTGCATAGCAAGTAAGGTATTTGTGCTGGAGAGCAGTACTTTGCTGAGGATAGTTACGTTATGACGAACATGCGGACGCCGGTGTTTGCGTTCGAACAGTGGGTCGAGACCCAACTAATAATTTCAACCAGAACTCGATTGGCTCGATGCCCCGACGCCCCCGCGCGCTGTCATCTCTGCCTTTCCCTCAGTTGCTTTCCGTATTCATTACGAAATCCTCCCTCGTGATGGCTAAGGTAGGTTACACAAGTTACGACGACGTACACGCTTCCTGCCCTTTTGGGTAGATCACTGTAATCGCTTCGCCAGTCCCCTTAGCACTGTCAATAAATAAAACAACCAAAATTTCTTCTTCGCGCAGTGGAAGAATGTCGAGCTCACAATCATGGCGTAGCGGATTCAGTTTCCTTTGTGGCGCTGGTAGAATTTCCTTCTGGCTTCTAAATTTACCACTCTTTTGTATAGATTTTACGCTGAAATAAGTTTTGTAACGGTTTCCGTGGTGTTTCATCACACTTTTCACAGAAATCCCAGCCCTCGAACAAATTCCGTGTTAAAATATCTCGCATTTCATTATTTTCGGGTCCTTCGCCAAACGATTGGTAAACGCAGTAAGTCGATCACGGCACAAAGAGCTGTAGTAACCGCTTGGTCACGACAGACCGCTTAATATTTCTGAATGCATTGCTGTTGATTATACGAGCATTTTTCCCGCCTACGTTCAGGTAAAATATTGAAGGTAAAACTGAGGCAAGGTACTCATTAGGAGGACTAAAGATGACCACACCCTGTTAAAAACTGTGACTAGAAAATCCGCTATGTGGAGCCGAGAAAGAAATATTGGAGGACTGTCACTTGAGGATGCATCATTTAGCTGATTAATTGGAAATAAAACTGAACACCACTTCCAACATAGTTCCCAAAAAAAAATGTCTAAATTGAGTTGCCAACAGGTGCCCAGATTACTGACTCAAGAAAAATAATCAAAGTTTTCCAAAGCCAATTCGACACTGCTCAACGAAACATGTCCAAACTATATTTCATTCAAAATGTATGCCGCGCAGGGAATTGCAGAATTGGTCCACCGTACGAAACGCTATTGTAAACTCGTACGCTCAGTACATCCTGGAAGCGCAGAGATTCCTTCTCTCTTACCATTGTGAATGCAGAACGAACACATAACAGAGTCGGTATACACACCCTGTTCTGTTATCGTCCTGCCCGCTTTGCTGTCTAAAATCACAAAACGTTAAACCACCATGACCTTCCTTTTTTTTATATTCGTGGGTATTCTTTCACCCACCTTAGGTCGTGTTTCTGTAATGTGTTGAAAAGACGATGAGGGCGCTGCCAATTTTCGATGCGGTCAAATATAAATCTTTCGTCGTTACCATTTTACTCTAAGACATTAAGAAGAAGCACCTTAAAGGGGAAATGCAATCATATTTAAGCGCCTCCCTTTTTTGTGGTTTCCACGTGTCTCGGGGTTTGGGCTAGCCAGCGGGCACGGAGAGAGTAACTAAATATCAGTGCGTCATATTTTAACCGGACGACACAGAAACCTCCTCCACCTACGGGGGCAACCCACGGTGCCAAAAGCGCACGATATGTGAAGTCTTTGGTCCTGGGCTTACCACCGGTCAGAGCCGCTAAAAGCTTGTTTTTAGTCGAAATACAAAATATAAGTGGCACAAACCGTTTAAATTATTTTTAAGTAGTTTTTGTTCAGTTTTTTAGATCCGAAAAGAAACAAACGCAGTTCATAAAGTGTGGAAACAAGAAATGACCCATCGACATACCAGCCACCAAGCGGTGAAAAAGGTGGCGCATACTAGAAAGGTACAGTGGGATCAGGCACCGACGAGCGGTGAGCGTAGAAAAGTCCCGGATGTACGCGGCGGCGCTGCGGTCGTATACAAGCTCGAGGATCCGACCGGTTTCGGGGGCCTCTGGCGAGTAAATTTGGCTTGCGGTTTGGCCATTTGGCGGTATGGCAGCGCGAAGTGGCTCCTGTTCTGAACTAATCTTTACCCTGTGCTTGCTGTTGTTTGTGGCCAATGAAATGTCATGCCGAATTAGTGTTTAGTCGCGCAGCAAATGCAATGTGAGCCACCCTGGCTGCCCGCTTCATACAGCCCATCCAGAACATGCTTTAGTGGCGCCCTCTCGAGCAGTCGACATGGAGTGTGGCAGCCATGAGCACTCGCTGAGCTCACTATCCCTCCTCTAGTTCACGGCCACTCAAGCAACCAAGGAAGTCATGAAGAAGGTTATTTTTTGCTTGTTTCTGTAATTTTAAAAAAGCGAAATTCGAGAAAAGGAAAGTTTCATTAAGCTACTACGTTCAGCGCACTCAGATTCAGTGCAAATTAAAAACCAGTAAAAAAAGTCCTTACAGGGCCCCTTTAACACCATCATCACAAACAAGATTGTGCTTCATATTCTGCCGTTTGAAAACTCTCAAGTCAAAATGTACAATCTTAGTGTCTAATGCTAGTGGATAATTCCAATAAATATTTTATAGACAAATCGCAACTTTATTTGACTAGCCTCCATTTTATGTATTGTCCTTACACTAATATCTTTCCTTTCATGCACCAATAAAGTATCACCCTAAGAAGCAAGATGGCACATACATCAGATTGGAACCATTGGGCTAGCCCAGATATAAAGATGCTAGGCACCGACTGCACATAATCATAGATTAGAATAACATACTAGTCATACGAGCCAAATTTTTAGTGCCATGCAAATTCTGTATCATATCACCCCAGCCACAGGCCCAAAGTACACTAGTATTACTATACATGGATTGCAATGACGTCACGTGATCCGCCATTGCTCTGTACCATGTTCCAGTGCCCATACCTTCTGTGGCATACATTTGCCACCATTGAACCAGTTCTTCTCCACAAGGCTTGCCGAGAAGAACAAATTCAATTTTACGAAACGTATGCTGCAGAAGGTACGGGCACAGGAGCATGGTACGGAGCATCGACGGATGGTACGGTGCCATACGACGTCACATGCAAGGCATGCATTCAGCAGTCCTCCGCCTTCTAAAAACAAGTCACAGTTTATTATCCTATATTGGAGCTAGTACATGGGGTACCAATTTACTAACAATATTGATCAAGCAAAAAGTCTCGTATGACCAAATTAAGCTTAGTTAAAGGAGGAAATTCTATTGTACAAGTAAGAAAACATGAGCCACCGGATGTTTATGAAGTGCTGCATTCGATATTCCTCGTTGGCAAATGAAGACAGATCCCTCAACTGGCTGTGCGACTTTGGTTGACACGGTTGAGAACATTTGAACAGGGAAGGGCCCTTTGATTTGCCTATGCTGCCATGGACTCGTGCAAGTGCAATTGCACCCGTAGCAGCAATCAGTGAGACTATATATTTTATAGTTGCACAGGCTGATGTAAGCAACTAAACATAGGATGCCTATACTTGCCAACGCCAACATTTTTGCGCTACATTGTCAAGGTTAGCATAGCTTTTATGGCAATGTCAAAGCTACTTGCAAGGGTGCATGCAAATGAGATGCAAGAGAAAGCCACGTGCTTGCGCAACATTGTGAGGCTCCAGCATTGTGGAAACTAAGCTAGCCTTGACAATGTTGCACAATATTGTTGATGCCAAGTATAATGAAGAACCTCCAACCATAGGGCTCTGTACGGTCAGTCCGGCTTTTCGGTATAGTGACACTGGTTTACTCTGTAAATGAGAAATTTAGCCAGTACAGTATGACTGCTAGCCTGGGCCTTCAACATGCACGATGCAGCAGAGACACACACCCGTGAGCCAGTACAATGCTCATCCAGACCGAAAGAGGCGGGGGTGAGAAGATTATACTCGCAAATACCTTTCTGCAGCTAAGCAGACAAAGCTACTGGCGCAAGAGCGCCTGCGCATCTCGAGCACCCAACCAAAGCTGCACAAGCACACTCTTTGCTTGTTCTGAGATGCCACAGAAATACGTCTGCCAATACAGTACTACTAGCCACACCCTCGCGGCAAGAAAGTGTCTCCATCCATTGTTTGTGCAAGAAAACGAGCAAGCCGCAGCGCCCCGAACATTGAGCGTCCCCGGAAAGGAAAGAAGCGCAACTTACCGAAGTCGAGAGTGGAGACGCAAGAGGTTGAAGGAGAGGATGAGAGAGGGGAGGGGGAGGGGAGGAGGGGGGGGCCCTGTCAGGTGCCTGCCGCGGCCTCGGCCTCCAGGCGCAGGCCCTGCAGCTTGCGCAGCACCTGCCCGAAGGGGGGCCTGGCCTGGGGTTCGTCCTGCCAGGCCGCCCGCATGAGCTCGTAGACCTCGCTGGGGCAGCCCTCGGGGCACTCCATGCGGTAGCCCTTGCTCACATGGCGCACAACGTCTGCCAGTGGCTGCAACCCAGTAGTAAAGGACTTACGCTAAGTATACACACTTTTACGGCGCTTATTCCTCGGGCGAAAATTGATGAATCACTGGGCTGTGGAGGTGTACATGGCATCCATGGAGGTAGCAAGCTTCTGGAGGCAACATGACGCCAACAGAGGTGAATCCAGAAGTGTGGAGGGACACGCCCCCAACAATGAACCTTTGGTTACCCTCGGACGTGCCAGGGTGACCAAAACAACTGTCAAGTCATCTCTCCTTTTCGTCCAATGGCGCCGCTTGGTTTTGGTCATCGTTGCGGGCGTGCCCGTCCACACTTCTGGCTTCACCTCTGTTGGCCTCACGTCGTCTCCAGAAGCTTCCTACCTCCATGGTCACAAGGGACATCCGGCGTCCAATAAGTATACACTTTTACGGCACTCATTACTTGGGCAAAAGTTGCCGAATCATTGGGCTGTGTGCACATGCATCTGATATAACTGCGCATCTGATATAACTGCGCATACTCAGAATGCGTTACATGGACCAGTGGACATAGATGGCAGTACTCCCAAAAGCAATTATAGGAATGGTCTATCCGCATGTATATAGAGCCACTGGCAGAATAAAAACGGCAGGGAGGCTTTTCAGTTGTCCTGGATCCAGCACCAGCTTCCGTCCTTCGATAACGCTCCGGCATCTTGAGAGCCCTGTGCGTGTGTATGCGGCCGAAGTGCAGAGCCTTCAATAATGCTTCAACACACAAAAAAAAAAACTTTCAGCCTTTCCACTTTGGTGAAGAAGGAGGAGCAGCGGAGCCATAGCTTCTGTTCTAGGCGGTGGCTTTCCAGGCGAGCGATCTGCTCTTCTTTCGCAAGGGAATCTGAAGCGCTCAATGCAGTGGGACTTTAGGCGATAGCGGCCTCGCGGCAATTGCGGAACCATTTGCGCTGCGGTGCACATCGCCGCTCGTTCCGTTCCTGCTCTTCTTTCTCCGAAGAAATGTTGCCACCATCTATGAGCAACAGCAGCAACCAGCTGTCTGGTTGCTGAGGCTAGAAAGGTTGCCGCAATCTGTGAGCGATGGCGGCAAGCAGACAACCGGCAAACACAACACTCTGGACAGCTACCGCCATCTATGAGCGAAGGCAGCAACCAGAGTGTTGTGTTGACCACGGGTGTCGACATTTGTTTGGTACCGCACACGACCCCGGGGAAACTAGCCCTTGACAGCTCTGCTGTAAAAAATCACCCTGTCGTTCTTACCATGTCGGCAACTCTAGGCAAATGAATGGCTCACGGCCGTGCAGATTAACCGGAAGCTTCCAGATCTTTCCTCTTTCTTGACCCTGGCCACACAGACATCCTGGCAAGGTGTCCACCCCAAAATGCCAAACAAGTGCCCACCCAAAACTTGGAGATAATCTTGAAGAACTGGGGCACGGGTATCCGTTAGGTCCATGAGCAAAAATGCACGAGAGACACATACCATAATACAGTGTAGACCGCATATAACGTATGTCGGGGGAGTCGCGAAAATCCGCACTATAAGCGGTACCGCACTATAACCGAAACATCAATTTTTCAGGCCAAAATGCATGCCATCAGACAACTTACCTTTGTATAAAGAATTTATTTTATGTTATACCCGTTTTCACCTCAAGAAAAAAGGAAGTTTTGCTCCATGTTCCTACACCGCGCGAAGTAGTTCTTACAATATTTGTTTGTCGGAAGCAGAAGCAATGCTTTTGGCGTCTGAAACCTGTATGTCTTGATAAAATAACATTTATCTAATCGAAAATGCTCCTACATATATCTCAATTCTCAGCCCAAAGAGGGAAATTAGTAATGCTCCGCAAGAAACCATACATTTTTACTACGGTTCTTGAGGTGAAAACGAGTATAGATGAAAAATAAAGCTTAGTTTGAGAAAAGTCTTTATTTCACCAGACTAGTACACTTCTCTCTCAAGTGTGTCACACATTTTTAAAGAAATGAGCGACTTTTGCCTGGCGCAGCCTTTTAACGGCGTCGCGGGTTGCAGACGGACGTCGCGAGCGTTCAGGATTGCTAACCCTAATCACTTTTCTCCGGCGATGAAAACGCGTGAAAATTCGCATCCTTTATACGGTACGCACCAGTAATACCTTCAACTTGAGCACAGGCATGAAATGCTACAAATAAGAAATCCGGGTGATGTTCGAAAACACAAATGCTTAGAAAGCACCACTGTAGTCGAAGTAAACAAACACGACGACACGGGCGTTTCTGTTGTCTTGAGAGTGCCGCCACAACACCGCGGCACGAGTAGGTGGATCTTCCCTTCTATAGTCGGTTACAAGTCAAGAAGGCAGGAGAAGCTCCTCCCACAAGCGTGATGCGCCCGTTTCAAATTTCTCCGCAGTCGAAAGAAGAGTTCGCTGGAAACGCTCCTTGTTCCGCTTCAATGGATTCCAACTTGTCTCCAATCCCACTTTTTAAGAAAGCGACCTTTGCATACATCGGAGGGGGAACCGAGCCCCTGAAAGCAGCCTTTGTATCCATCATGGGGGAAGCTAATCCCCGAAAGTCGTATTTGTTTCCGTCGGTGGGGGGAAACTCTAATCTCCCTCTCGTGGCTTCCGCAATGCTAAGTCGAAGTCGAAAGATAAAGCAAATATGTACAGAAAGGCCAAGACCCTCCTCGCGCGTTGGCCGCGACGTCACGGAAACGGTGGGACGCTATTGGATGCGGAGGTGGCGGAGGGATATGGCATTTCCTTTGAGGGGCATTTGCCGCTACCTTCTTAACCTGTAACCGACTATAGTACGTGCTGGGTTATCATAGCGACACACAATGAAAATTCGCAGTCAAGGATAGCGCTTTCACGCGGAACGATGAACTTCCACCACGCCGCCTACGTCGACGATCAAAACCGACGCCATGTTTGCAGATAGAAGCAGCCGGCCGGCCGGCCCGCGACCGGCATGCAACCCGCGCGAACACTTCTCCTCGACCTGCGATTGGTCTGTCGTTGCGGTCGTTTCCAACGCACAGAGCGGAGGGACGCACGCATGTGAACGACACGTGTGTGCGTCCCTCCGTCGCTATGGCAACTGAAGCCTCTCTCTTCGCTTCTCCCCGCTTCTTCGAGCAACCTCCTTGCCCGCGAGTGCCGCTTGCGGATCGCGCCGTTATCTATGTCGCACAGGGAAGCGTGCTCTCTGCGTCGGTCAGTCGGCGCGGTCGCCGGGCTGTTAGAAAACCGCACTATATCTGGTATTTCCCTTCGTGCGCCTGCATTTCAAGCGGTATGTAATTACATGGAGTTCAATGGGAGGCGAACCGGTGGTTTAAAAAAGCCGCATTATACCCGGTCCTACACTATAAGCGGTTACGTTGTAAGTGGTCTATACTGCATCTCAAGACACAGACCACCTAAATCGAAAGCAAATCGGGCGAAAATAAGGAGTGAGCTAACTTTCGGTGTGCGATCAAAAAGAATTTAAAAAAATGCTAGTTTTAGATTCTGGGACCTGCGAAACTTGCGACTGCAGGGAGGGGCGACGAACCAAAGACGACTGTCCTTCCCAGTCGGCAATCTTTGCTTATCTCCCGTAATTGGCAAGGTAACACCATTTCTGCCGAGGTCACCACTGGCAGGGCTCTGCAATCACTAGAGCAACTTACTCTTTTGGTAATTTCAAAGAAATAGCAAATTGTGCAAAAAATAGAGGTGGGTTATGCTTTGGGGGGGGGGGGGGGGGCATCTTTGGGATAATACAATAATAGGGTGGACTTCACCGCCTTGCACCGGGGTGTTCGGAGAAGCAACTGACGAAGGGCCGTCTCGGGTGGCTAGGTGGCCTCGGAAGTCTGTGGTGGGCGCGTCATACATGTGTACCTTGCATCAGTTTACAAACGTTTCAAAAGCAGTAGGTGGAGGCTTACTGTATGTGGATGCATGCTCTGCCTTTTGTAATAGCATAATTCGGTTCCTACATTTTTTACTTCTCCGGGTCTTTACTAAATAATTTACCTCTGCTCACCGGCTAACCATAAAGAAGATAAGGTTCTGAAACCATTATTTTTGGGAACAATGGAAAGCCACTATACATGTGAGGCCTCTTGTGAGGTTGAAAGGGACAACTTAAAAATTTGAAAACAGACAACTTGATTCAAGTAGGGAGAATGGCACAACTGGCAAGACTGGACCAATGTTGAGTGATCATCATCCCTGTCACTTGACCGGGTCAAAACTGGCTCAGTCAACGGGTCAGAAACAATGTTGGCATGAATGTCGAGACTAGTTATTTCGAGAGTGAAGAATGACCCCGTGCAATTATGTCCCACTGTTAGGAAAATGCAGCTGTCATGATACCGAGCCCTTTAAAGCCTGTGGTCAAGCCCCTGGGCACATGTTTGAAAATTGGCCAAGGAAACTGTGTAAGGCATAGTAAAGCATAAGCATGCTGAATGAATGGCAGCAGGTCATTGCAATCTCACGCTCATAGGGTGGATCCAAAGGCTATACAGGGTTATACGACGGAGCTCTTAATTTATTTGCCGAATGAAAGCTCAAGTACCATAGAAAGGCCGAATGAAAACGAAAAGTTAGAATCACTTCGTTGTATCAATTGTCTAACTACAGTAGAATCTCAATGATATGAATCTCTCGGGATTGCAGAAAAGATTTGTATCATCCGAAAATTGTATTATCTGAAACAAGCTCCATAAAGGCAATAAAATATGCATACATACTTGGTGAGAACAAATGAGCACTAAAGGTACCAAAAGACTTGGACAGAGTGAAGACGGCGGCAATACAAAGCGCACTATGAAGCAAACACATAATTTCCAGCACGCCCACTCTTGTGCTAAAAATAAAGATTCCTTCAATCAAGGCCAAGGAAAGCTTATGACACACTTAACAGCGCCCCTAGTTTTTATCATGTATGCTTATTGAATTCCCCCGGATTTTTTTTTTTTTGGCTGTGTTGTTCCAGAATTGCAGTGTCTAGAAAAAGTGTAGTGCTCACACATAGGTTACACTGGACAGCTAATAAAATCTAACAAAATTCCAGTTGCAGGTGCACCTTGTGTTGTCGTCATCCTCACTCTGTCAGTCTTTTGACGCTTTTAGTACATAATGAACCAACTAGCACAACTCACCATTTTGCTGCAAGAACAAATGACTCTGGGTGAGAAATTTGATTCGATCCCGGAGGCAATGCAATATCACCGGTACTGCACTGCATGTGGGATCAGCCCGCTTTTTTATTTGTTTGAATATCGGCTTGAGGTTTTTCCTTCCCTGACCTTAGATGTGACTGAAGAGCCTCGGCTAGGGTGTCCTTTCTTGAAATACCTTTACAGCCGCCCGAGTGACTGGGAGCGCCGCAGTGCGCAGAAGACCTGGCGGTAGCACATTATTGTTTCCCTCAAAGTCCCTCAACATTTTAAAAATTGAAGGGTTTTACCTCCTTGGGGGCAGTGCTTTTTTTCGTACCAACAACTGCAGCCGGAGAGAGTATTCACACTACATTAAAACCTCGTTATAACAAAACGGGATATAACAAACTAATGGATATAACAAAGCAATCATAATTCCCCTTGCTTGCTAGTAGTGGGAAGAAATGGACATTGGCTATAACAAACTAATGGTTATAACGAAATAATTACGACCGCTCCTTTAACTTTGTTATAACGAGGTTTTACTGTATCTTGAAATGTATCACATTACAAATAAGGTTTTTTAGTCAAAATTTCTAAAAGATTTGAATCGTCCCGGGTCAACTTTATTATATCATTGATAATCTATTGTACATATCTGCAGTCCCACTCCCAATGAGAAGACAGAATGGATAATTATTATCTAAAATTACATAAATTACTTCTGATATATGCAACAAATGCAATCAAAATTTTTTAATTTTCCCATCCATACTTTTTAGAGCAGGGATACCTTTTTCACAACTTGGGATCAGATCCAAGCAGAAACTAACATATAGGGTGACACAAAAGAATCTTCCACTCTAAAACGAGCCGAAAGAATCGGCACTTGCACATAAAATTTTCATACTTTCACCGAATGTGCAATGAGCAGGTCAGTTTTATTGTGTGAAATTTCGAGGCGTCACTGCGTGCATAATTTGCATATGCAGGCACCGATTTCTCTTGCTCGTTTTGCAGTGGAAGATCCGCTTGTGCCACCTTATACATCTTTCATGAAAATAGTAGAAAGCTGAATGATGCTACTCACAATTCTTGGGTAAGGCACCCGCCCGAAGGAATATATCTCCCACAGCAGGATCCCAAAGCTCCACATGTCCGACTTGTTGGAGAATTTCTGCAAAAAAACAAGAAGCCGACTCAGCGTAAGCAGCAGCAACGCAACCACACTGGGCCTTTTCCGGGGTTTCCACGGCGCATGTGCCGCAGCATCAAACAGGAGTTTGCCATTTTTGATGGCATGGTGCGTCCGGCTCGCGACTGCGGGAAGCAGCGGTGGCCATGCGTTTCGAAGTTCTCCGACATGCCCCAACTATGTTCTGTCGTCAACTGCAGCAACGCCAGCAAGCGTTGTCGGGGTTGATATTTCTTCAGGTTTTCTCATACTAGCCTGCACTCAAAGAAGTGGTAGCTGTGGATCCGGGCGATCCGGCAAAACAATGCGGACGGCTCCTAAAGGCAGCCTTCAAAGCACACCCGCGTTCGCAAATGCCACTTCAGGTTCATGTTTTCATTTTTTTTATTTTTTATTGGTGTGTAAATACAAGTCGCTCCCGCATTTGTAGTTGCCACTTCAAGAAAAGTTTATGTTTTTGTTCCTTTATTTTTCGTTGGTGCGTACCTAAATACAAGTCAGCAGATTGGTTAGGTATGCTGTCATGTTGCTTATATGCCACGCAGAGCGAACGCCTTGGAGGTCGCCTTTCTATGACGGTGCATTTGACTGGTGCACATTTCTGCTTGCTAGAGTGACGATATCACGCTGCCACGCAAACCGCTTGTCTGCTTTCTGGTTGTTGTAAACACAGGAATCGCCATCGAGCAGTTGTAAATTTTCTGCATTTATTAGTGTTCAGCTAACACCAACCAAGGCCAAGTTTTCATTCCAGATCTCCACTTCCAGAGCATCAGACATGGTGGAAGAAGAAAGAGGTGTCCGAACGGCTCCGCTTAGCCGCGGAGCAAGTGTGCCGAAGGTTCGCTCTCAATTCTAACGGACGCCTCAAGCTGGCGCAGCATGACAGAAGCTCGAAGAACCATCCCTATTCGTGCACACGTTTTTGAGACTGCGTGCGGATCGCCCCAGCTCGACAGTGCCCCCTCCGAAAGACAAGAAGCCCGAGTGGAATTTCAGCCCCCATTCCGGCCTTGGTCCGACAGCTCTTTTTTCGTCCACCGTGGTATGCACCGGGCGACCTTGCTACAAACAGGCAGAGTGGCGCATCAGACTAAAATGTGGCAGGTGGACTCACGTTGAACTTTAGGGCCTCAGGAGCAGTCCACTTGATGGGGAACTTGCCTCCTTCGAGGTTGTCACTCTCGTCCCGTGCCAGCCCAAAGTCCGACACTTTGGCCACTCCATCGTCCGAGATGAGGACGTTCCTGGCGGCAAGATCTCGATGAACCACGTGCTTGGACTCCAGGTAGGCCATCCCAGCACAGGTGTCGCTGGACAACAAGAAAGCAACGTCTATGTTATATGGCACACCTCACAGCGTCATTTCTTGCAGGTCTAGCGTGCGTAGCGAAGTATAGAAAAGAGGCCCAGTACTACTTGCAACGCCAGACCATTGCCGGCAGAATACAACACAAGCTCGGAATACTGGCAGCCTGCCTTTACAAAAACATTCAACTTCTTCCGGCCCGAAAGCGACGACCCTTGGCATGTCACGACGCCTTCCTTAGCGGTACAAACTGCAATATGCACGGCTCCAACTAGGCCCAGACAAAGCTAGCGAGTTGAGAACAATGATTACGGGTAATGAAAATACCAGAAAAAAATTAATAATTATGCAAAACCAACAACCAAATCCTAACATGCACCTAAGAGCTGGGAGAGAAAAGACATTTTTGATGATGATGACTGGAGGCTTTATGGCACAAAATGCTACTTAGGCCAAAGTGTGTTGTTGATTCACATTCTGGTTAAAATGGGATGTTCCAATTGTCATTATTGTGGGTATTAAAGCTGGTGTAAAAAGCCAGTGCTAGAAATAAAACTGAGCGCATGTTCAAATGGGATAAGAGGGTGGTCTCCTAGTAAAACAACAGGGTGAAAAGCTATATGATATATAAACAATTCCGGAAAATGATGCCGCCGTTTTTCATCAAGACCGGAACAAATCCTTAAAATATGTAGAATGGAAACAACATTCCCGCAGTGTAAACAGCATGGTAGGTCTTCTCCACAGACGAGATATTTGTGAGTTATATAGGAATGGCCTGTGCAAGAACTACTAATAAGACCTCATGGAATCGGTTCTATAATCCGCGGCAACTTTTCTTGGCAATGCAGTGGAAGGCACGGCCCACGTCCCTTCACACATTTTGAGTGTGCGCGGGCTCTCCTCCTCTCCCCAGAAATGGGGGAGGAGGAGAGCCTGCTTACACTCAAAATGGGAGAGGGGACGCGGGCCTGTACCTTCCACTGCATTGCCAAGAAAAGTTGTTGCGGAGTATAGAGGCACTCTCCCACAATCCGAGAATGGGCTTGGTGTAGTGAAGCTTATTGTCAGATTCTTTATTCCATTCTGTCTGCAAACTCTGGAAAATTGATGCCCTCATGACTGGTTTGATATCCTGGTAAGGTAAAGAGGCTGCTGCTTGCCAAAGGTTCCTGGAGGAAGCGAGCCTATCAGCTTTCTCATTACCCGCATGATTTGAAACCCAGAAAAGTATATCATATGATGACTGTTCTGACATGCACGATTAATCTTGGCATGCACAAGCTGTATAAGCATATTTTTGGTGTCTTTGAGAAAACTAATTGCAGCGATCACTAGGGCTGGGCGATTGATCGATTAACCTACCGATTAATCGATTAATGCTTTAATCACGATTAATTTGTTTAACCGGTTAATCGGGAAAAGTTTTGACGAACCAAAATTAAATAAAAATGAAATGCTTTCACTATGCAGACATGGACGAGCACACCAATATGAAGTGAAAAATTTAGGTGAAATATTGACTTAAGGTAAACTGTAAGGAAAAAATTTGTAACTTCAGACAAGTGCAGAAGGTTACAGATGTCCCAGCGACTTCAACGCCGTGCGAGAGTCCATTTAGCGCAGCAGAGACTACTGGGAGCAATCAAAGGAGGTCGCCGTTTTCTGAGAATGTCAACGAACATTTTTGCCTCATGGAGCTGAAGTAATATTATTTGAGTGTGAGTGTTTTTTAACTGCTCTCAATTGTATATCGAAGCTGATTCATAATTGAAATTATTGCATCGTTTAACAAATATTCAGCAAAAAAAAAAAAAGAAAATAGATGCAATTTTTACTTTTGAACAATATCATTATGCATGGAAATGAACGAGACCGATTAATCGATTAAAGGCAGGCGATTAATCGGGTTAAAATTTTTAATCGACGCCCAGCTCTAGTGATTGCACTTTGCGAGTACACATTTATAACAACCTTACTGTTCTCTACAGTCTAATATGGTCAACTGCTAACAACACTGCATACAGTTCTGCTGTCAAGATACTGGCGGTCGAATTAAGACTCTTAGTTCTAGAAAAGTTCTCAGAATGCACGACACATCCAGTTAAGAATTGAGCCTTAGCACCATCAGTATAAAACTGACAATAATCAGCATACCTTGTCTAAACAATAATCAGCACATTTTGTCTGCAACTCTTAAAAATCTCGCAGGATAACCACCGAAGTAACACAGTGCTTATATTTTGTAAGCAAACAGTCGCAACAAACTGGCAGTCCCTCCCAGGGAGTAATACAGTCAACTGGCGAAAGTAGGGACATTCTATCAGCAGAAATCTGAAGAGACGTACAACAGACTGCGAGGCAGAGGCTTGATGCCCGCATGATGCTGGGCTTGTTTTCGAAAACTCCAGAGGGAACCTTGAACGTTTTATGGAATCATGTGTTGGATCGTGAGGGTTAGCTAAAATTCTGTAGGCATATGTCATACATAGATGTTGCCGTCTTTTATTTAACGACAACTCGTTGGACTCGCCGTATAAACTCAGAACGGGGGATGTATAGAAAGCACCCGTGGAGAGTCGTAACCCAAGATGGTGCACTGGATCTGACATTTTCAGAGCCGATAGTCGTGCTGATCCATACACTATAGCACCATAGTCAAGACGGAATAGCACAAGGCAATTGTATAGGCACATCAGACATTTTCTATCTCGTCTCCAAGTCTTGTGTGCCAGGACTTTTAAGAGGTTCATACTTTTAAGGCATTTTTCCTTGAGACACTTCAAGTGGGAAATAAAAGTACCGTATTTACTTGAAAATAGGTCAAACCCTATTTGTTTGACCCACCGAGAATAAAAAAAAAATAATTCAAAAATAGGTAGACTTTTTTTCTTTATTTTTAAGAACAGGGGAAATTTCGGGCAAAAAAAAACAACAAACCTTTATCTACACCACTCTCAGCTAAATCACGGGGCGATGCCAAAAACTTAATCACCGTCAGAACTTCTGGACATGTCATCGTCGTCCGAAGCTTCGTCAGCTTGGTAGACATCCTCGCAAATTCGCAACAATGCTTCACTGACACCGTTGTAAAATGACGACAAGAAGAAACGAAAGAAGGTGCGAAGCGACGAAAGACAAACTACAAAGACGCATGCAAAGCCGCCGTGTCGCCATGAGCAACACGCGAGCCGAGCGTTGGCCGAGCCGCCTCAAGCAACAAACAAAAGTAACCTGTTTTTTTTTTGTTTTTTTTTTTTTTTTTTTGTGCGCGTTTGCGAGGATGGAGGGCAAAGTGCATGGCGCATCGCGTTCCTCTTCTTCCCCGTTGCCCAGCAAGGGGAACGGTAGTGGCTAGAGGCGCGATGGCGAAACCAGACGCCCGAGAGATGGGCGCGATAGCGGCACCGGCCACCGCGGGCGGGACATTTCGGTTGTCTTCGTGCACCAAAAGCCTTTTGAAACAAGAAGCAGCGCGGCTCTACGGCAACGCCGGCTCGGTGACTCGATAGCTTCATGCCTCCGGTAGGGTCGCAAAATTTGGTTGCGAATGTAGGTCGAAATTCTTTGATCACGATTTTCGAAAAAAAAAAAAAAAAGGCCGACTTATATTCGAATAAACACGGTAAGCTTCCTGTCAAAGATAGCAGCCAGGTATCTGTGCTAATTTTTAACAGGCAATTGCATGGCTTTCAGGTCGAGGTCTGGACTCGAAGGCAGCCCACGGCGCAAGGGAAACGGCACACAAACCATTTTCTCTGTAGAAAAGCTAAAACCATTTTCATCTGCCCAACTACCAAGTTGGTTTAGAGCTAACTGAAGCTGGTCTTCACAGGTTCACAAGAGGAACACAAGATCTGAAGGTTGTCTACGTAAAGCATGTATGTGATGGAAGATGGGAGATTCGCGCAACGAAATTTATCTTGACCGCAAACAAGGTGAAACTTAGGATGGCCCCCTGAGGAACTCTATTTTCTTGAACAAATGGATCTGACAAAGTATAGCCCAGTCGAACCTGGAATGTCCTGTCCATCAAAAAAGAGGCCGCATCTCCATGTGGTGAATGATGTTGATTGGGGTGAAGCTCTGGTGGTGCTGGTGACACTGATTTTATTGTTCATAGGTAGTGCTGATGGTGCTGATTTTTTTTTATTGCTCATAGGTAGTGCTGAGTTCCGGGTTGCGTTTCGACTTCATTGTTACTGCTTTATGGTCGGTGAAATGCAGAGCCAGTGGTTCTTCTAGCAGATCAGCTTGGATCCGCTAGAAGTCATGAGAACGCATCTCTACCGCTTAAGTCAACGGTTCATGTCGGAAAGAGAATGTGTGGTATGGACCGTGGTTATATACGCAGTTGAGCATTTGAACACAGCGCCCTCTCGTCTATAAACGTTGAGCCAATGCATGCTAAGTTTAACGCAATTATATACGCTTTTGACCGCAGCACCCTCTCCTGTATAGACGTTGAGCGGCTACATGCAACGTTGGAGTGTAGCGTAGTGGTTAAGACGTCTGCCTCGTAAGCAAGCGGTCCTGAGTTTAAACCCCCATGCGGGCGTACGTTTTTTTTATTTTTTTTTTTTAAGAAGTGGGTCGATCCCAGAGGCAGTGCAATCAATGTGAGCACGGACGCCAGACGGACAGACAAGGGTAGACCCTAAGGAGTTTCGCCCCCTGAAAGTCTCCTATACACTTCAGTATTCGGCTCCGAATACCGAATATCATAGCTGTAAAAGTCTTACGAGTATTCCAAATCTCCATATGGTATTGTGGGCTTTTTCTAAGTCAAAGATATTGAGGTGGGCTAGTTGGATATGCATGATGTAAAAATTAAATAGCGCAAAGGTTATACAAAGGTCAAAGGACAGAACATGTAGACAGGACAAGCGCTATGCTTGTCCTGTCAACATGTTTTGTCCTTTGTCCTTTGTCTAACCTTTGCGCTATTTAATTTTTACATTTTTCTAAGTCAAAGTTAACAGAGATGCTGTGTTGTTTATGCAT